AATCCCGAAAGACTCCGGGCGGCTTACATAAAATAATTCTAAAAAAAAAATACTAAAAAATTTAAAATAGAGATACGGACCCTCCCCACTCTCTCGGCCTTCCGAAAGTCTACTAAGACCTGGCTGTTCCGGCAGGCCTGGGGCTGTTGACCTCATGAACGAGGTCCAGCCCCACTAAGGTTGAGTGCATGATGTGTCTTTTTAATTTGTTTTCTCTCTATTTTAAATTTTTTAGTATTTTTTTTTTAGAATTATTTTATGTAAGCCGCCCGGAGTCTTTCGGGATTGGGCAGCATATAAATTTATTAAACTTTGAACTTTACCTGTAACTGGACGGAGTCTTCTCAGGACAGAAGATGGGCGCCTCATATCTGCTAGGAATTTATACAAGTCCTCATCACTGAGACGATCGCCTTCCTGACAAAGAAGGTGACAATGAAGAGAGACAGAAGATGAAGAAGGTGGCATTCACCAGTGTAGTGAATAAAGCCTCTTATGAGTGTCCTCTACTACATCCACAAATGTCTATGCAGAGTTTCGGTATTCAAAAATCAAGACAGACAACATGCCAAGACTCTCATCCTTCAAATGTGGTTTGTACTCAAAATAGCCTAATGATGAGATGGCGAACCTATGGCATATGTGCCAGATCTGGTACACAGAGCCCTCTTGGTGTGCACGCATGCAATTCGTAACAAAAATAATTCGGGTTTTAGTGCAATTTGGTGTGTAGTAATCTCCTCTAGCCAAGATTTTATTCTTTTCCAATACTTTTTCACAGCTGTGCATGTCCACCACATATGGTAGTATGTTTCATGTTGTTTGTTGCATTTCCAACAGATAGGTGAACACTCCGGGAACATTTTCTCAATTCTCGCTGTGGAAGGTGCCATCTGTAGAACATCTTGTACATGTTCTCTCTATAAGCCATTGCCATTGTTAATTTGTAGTTTATTTCCCAAATTTTTTCCCATTCCGACAATTCTATACTATACCCAAAATTTATCGCCCATGTTATCATCATTTCTTTCACAGTTTCTTCTTCCATTTTGAATTTTAATAAGTAGTGATATATTTTTTAATCAATTTTTCTTCGGTTCCCTGTAAAATTTTATCCAGCTCTTGCGGCTCCTTATAAAATCCATCCCTTTCTCTGTCTTTCTTATACCTTCTCTGTATTTGTAAATAAAATCTTTACATCAATAATGGCAGAGTGAATTTAAAAAATATTAAATGAAATCATTCACACAGATCAAAATGGCTTCTTACCAAAACGCCCATTAAAAAATAATATGAGGATAATTATAAACACATTAGAATATTATGAAGAGAATCTAGGAAAACAAGTTGCACTGGTCTTCTGAGACGCCCAAAAGGCCTTTGATAACTTGAATTGGCATTTCATTTAATATTTTTTTAATTCACTCTGCCATTATT